GTTGCTATCGCTCCTCATAAAGCAGGCTTAATGGTTTAGTTTACACATTTACTTTCCATTCCCCGCCCGAGACCAGCAGCCAATGGCTTGTCAGAACTTCAGAAGCGCTATTTAAGACGCAGACAGTTCAAGGTGGTTCAGATATCAGCGCACTGCGCGCAACAGGACGCGCGGGCTTATTCCTTACTACAGGACTGCGTACCCTCCCGGGCTGCGGCGTTTCATTGACTGATTTCGTCCTTAAAGATATTTTCTCCAAAAGGAATAAAGTGCAAAAGAAATGAGAGCGTGGAAAGTGCGGTTTCTGTGCTTCGTGGTGTTGAATGCAGCTGTGCAAAATGTGACGTCCTTGGAGGAAGAGCTCGCCGATTCTATTTTTGGTGAGTTGTCTGTTACTTCATGCACATTTAGGTCTGTATGTTTGTAGTTCTGCAGGTACGTGGGTGAAAATTCCCGTGTAACTGTAACATGTGGTGAAAACCAAGCGCAGTGCGTGTGTGTGTACAGTAGTTTCTACCTTGCCAGTGATATCAACGCGCTATAGGACATACTTTAGGTCACGTGTCTGTGACTAAACTCATCTCTGATACTCTCCTCACTTACTATTCCCTGGAAGAGACGCTCTGAAATTGAAGCTAACGCTGGAAATTAGAGAAATAAACTGAAATGTTTCAGACTGTTAAATTATCCCAACAAACTGATTTATCCGGGTGTCATCATGTCTATTTATTTTCACAATATGATCCTTAAACTATTGAAGCCTTTCATTTGGTAATTGTTTGCAAGAGTCTGGTCTCCACCTCCCACACTTTGAAAATCAGTACAAGGCCCAGTCAGCTGACTGTGCCAGCAGGACCACAGAAACATGGGCAGATTATATTCGGTGAGATGGCAGGAACAAAGCTGGGAAACCCTTATGAGCCTCTGTGGAGCTCAGTCCTGACCAAGTGAACCCCTTAAACCCCTGAGCTTTGATCTCCTCTAAGGTGGAAGCTCATTTTCTGAGGGGCCCTGGGGGCGGTCCTTATTGCCACCAGCAACTCAGCTAGCTGGTCAGACTTCTCAGACTTTCCAGCCAGACTATTAGATAAGATTTATATATCTGATCAAAACACCAGGAAGCCAGAGGATTTGTTTCCCCTTCTTTATTTAGTATAATGTCCTCTTAAACCATCCAGCTAACTGGATAATCTTCTCTGTCAGGTAACTTCCTCGATCCTGTGAAAGGCTTTTTTGACCACGAGGCTGAGAGCAATGCCACTGTTGCCAAATTCTCGCTCCGCAAGCCATCCCATCCCGATGATGACCTCTGCTACATCATTCCAGGAAAACCCGACTCCCTGGCAACCTGCACTTTCAACAGCACTTCCAAAACCTTTCTCATAATCCATGGCTGGACGGTAAGCAGAGACGCGTCAGCTTGTTTTAACCTGCCCCTATTTTCCAAAAATATCCAGAGCTTTGTTTTCTTTTGAATTGAAAGGAGAATAAAAGACCGGGAATACCTCTCACCAAATTCTGGTGAGGTAGCATCTCACTAAAATAACAATCATATTAACTGACAACCAGCCAAAGTATTCCCTGACATGTTGATCTGGAGGTGGCTTAAATTACACGCGTACACTCGTTTCACCTTGATGTTTGTTTGTCTTTTCGACAGCTGAGTGGTATGTTTGAAAGCTGGATCCCTAAACTGGTATCGGCGTTGTATGAGAGAGAGCAGACGGCCAACGTCATCGTGGTGGACTGGCTCAACTCGGCTCAGAATCACTATGTGGTCGCGGCTCAGAAAACCAAAGCAGTGGGGCGGGAGATCGCCAGGTTCATCGATTGGATCGAGGTTAGTCAAGCTCTTGATTTCGATGAGTTAGTGTTGTTTAACCTCAAGTATTTAAACGATGTGTTTATATGAGTAACAAAGAAAAAGCAAATGAAATTAAACCCAAAGATAATGCAGAGTATTTCTTACAGTCTCCTTAACTTGGAATTGCTTTTGATTTTCAAGGAGACCACCAACATGCCTCTTGAGAACATTCACCTGATTGGCTACAGCCTCGGGGCCCACGTGGCCGGATTTGCCGGCAGCCATGC